TCATAACTCTAATTTTACCAGCTTGTATGAATTCAAGATCTCAAAGAGACCATTGCATTAAATATCCAAACAATCTATAATACGAGTTAATAGCAATTTGCTTATTCTATTTATGAATCCACTGCTGCCCCTTTACCATCTCTGGCATTGTAGTAACATATGGAAACAACATTAAGAATGTGAAAATACTACACAATCTGTTCAGTCTTGATTTTTTTAAAGCCAATTTTATTTAGACAAAACGCAGAACTTTCTACTTTTCTCTTTTACACAAGCATAAATGTGGCAACACTCCATTGTCATCCACTGGTTAAATGCTAACACTATACCAAAGACTTGGAATTCTCCTCCCCTGATTAAGAGCAGCGATTATCACTCCTCTTCAATTCTTCCATTTTCAGTACTACCAAATTAAGTATAAGGCTTTTTTCACACCTATGATGAAGAAAGTTTGTGACTAGTCCAGAACACAATTCACTTCATCAGCATGCTAACCCAACTCAGAAAACATCTGTAATATGTTTTATGTTCCTACCTTGTCTTTCAAAATATTTTTTTTATATCAAAAAACCTGAAAGCATATTTTATTGAAACGATTTTGTGACAACAAAACTGTGGTAACATAACTGTCACCCTCAACTGAGGCAGAAATAGGAAAAGATGAAAAAAAAAAAAAAAGAATTATTGGCTTAGTTGACAAAGATTAATGAAATCTTCTCTCAGAACTAAGCACAACAACTTCACAAAAAAAGAAAAGAGTCTAATCTAAATATCACCTTGGTAAAGATCTGACTAACTGACTGGCTCTATTACCTCCAAACCAGCTTCTGAGAATTCCCTATGTCACAAGTGCCGGAATTCAGTTAATCAGTAAATAAAAAGGTGCATGAAATAATGCATGTTCATGTAAAAGGCAGTTAGAACCATCTCATGAGACACTTGTTTTACATATTATACACAAATATTAAAATAGAAATTTCATTTAAGAGGAATTAAGTCAATGCACACCTACAGCTTAGGATACCAGAATCAGTTCACTTGGAAGTCTTATCCTGAGAGTTCCCAAAGCTATGCCAGAGTCACCACTATAGTCTGCTTTTAAGCTTTTCAAGTCAACAACACTAATAACCAGCTGTTTCTACTAGAAAAAGAAATGCTAGCGAGACAGACATCTGTACTGCATAGCTGCCAGATTTACTCAGCATGTGGCCACAGGTGTTGACCCTAGTGTTGTAGGAGCCAAAGGAGAAAGACAAAAGGAATTGGCATTAAAAGCTGTACTCACAGAAGGCATCCAATATTCAAGGTTCATGAAAGTAATTTTAACTGTCAGCCCTTAGAAGCATGACTCACTTTCCTTCTCTGATTTGATTCTGGCTATATCCAGAAGACAACAAGAGGTAGTACATGAGTTTTTCTACAAAGTAAGTTAAAGGTTATGACCCTTTCATTGCCATTCTTGAAAACTGTAGTACCTGACTCAAAGAGGCATGATACAGACAGACTGATAGTTGCAAACCTCAGTAACATTTCCACTACCTAAATACTTCTGCTTGAAGAGCACCATGAAAGTATTAAAAAATAAAATCCACTAATTCTATTGTTGAGAGTTTATGATGATCATTAACTTTAGTCAATATGATACTCCATAAATCAGAAGGTTTTTAAGCAAAACTTATTTTTATAACATAGCTAAGCAAACATTTCTTTCATTGAGTATGATGTTACACACATAAACAAAAAAACCAACAACAACAAAAGATTAGATTATTATATTACCGTAAATTCTAGGAAGAACTGCAGCCTGGAATTCAGTACAAATTATTACAGCAACCCTTAAGTACAAATGGGAAACAATGCAGTAGCTACTTAAAAACCATCCACAGCAGCAAAAAAAATTAAGTGAAGCTGAACTACCAACAAGAAACTTCTGAAATGTTTCTATAAGTCTGTAATATTTAGTTTGTCCTGCTACAACAGTGGAAGACGACTGAAAACTTCAATGAAAAATTTATCTTGTATGTGAGACTTCACACGTGTACTTAATGAACGATGTTGATTTTTGCAATGGAAGCAATTTTAATTCCATTGTCTAGCATCTAACTATATTTTACAGATTTTTATTATGAAACACAAACTATTCCATATTCAGGTCAGCTAATACTTTACAAATAATTGGCCATAGCTACTCTAGAACATGCTAAGTCATACTGCTAAACACACAGCTACTGTGCTAAGTGTTTTTCTTTTTGTCTGAATGAAATAAATCATAATAAGGATGAGTGATACGAGTTACAACAATGTACTTACGCAAGTAGGCTATTAAACATACATTCCCGCTAACGTAAAAAGTCAGGCTCTGATCTAAGACCTTAGAAAGTCTTTAAATTCAGAAGGCTTTGGAGCAGGCCTGTAGATACTTAACAGAGTATTTGTTGGATGTAAATATACTCTATATAAAACCCTCCTGGAAAAAAGTAAGAAAGAAATTACCTGGAGCGTCTTGTAATGATCTTGATGTGAAATTACTTTTTCTTTTTTTTCCTTCAAGAAATCCATTTCTAGGATACTATGTTTTTCCAGTAAATACTCTAATTCCTATAAAGTTTACAAAATAAAATACGTGAATTTACAAACATTTGCAAATTGTGAAAATACAGTTAATCATTCCAACTAATTTAATTTCTAAAGACTATGACATTTCCTATCATAATATAGACAGAGATGAAGGGCTGTGCAAGAAAACTCTGATTGCGGTCTTTAAATTGAGACAATATTTTCAAGAAGTAGAAGGTATTTAAAATCAAAGGCACATCCTGAAAGGCACGTCCTATGAGAAGCGGCTAAAGTCACTGGGTTTGTCTTGTTTGGAGAAAAGGAGATTGAGGGGCAATACCATTGCTCTCTACAGCTTCCTGAGGAGGGGAAGTGAGAGGGAGGTGTTGATCTCTTCTCTCTGGTATCCAGAGCCTGGATGTGTGGAAATTGTTCAAAGCTGCATCAGGGGAGGTTCAGAGTTGACATTAGGAAACATTTCTTTACTGAGAGGGTGGCCAAACACTGGAACAGGCTTCCTAGAGAGATGGTCAATGCCCCAAACCTGTCAGTGTTTAAGAGGCATTTGGACAATGCCCTTAATAATAATGAATAATGCTTTAACTTTCGGTCAGCCCTGAAGTGCTTAGGCAGTTGGACCCGATGATTGTTATAGGTCCCTTCCAACTGGAACTGTTCTATTCTATTCCAATTATTTCCATATTTTTAACAGCTTGTTCTGTCTTTCTGCATTTGAAAAGTAGCATACTAAATGTACTTTTAGCAAATGGTTTCACTAAAAAGGCAGAAATCCCATTACATACAACCCTACTGACCTCTACCTACATCTCCAAAATGAATACAATTTTAAAATATTCTGTGATCTTGCGGAGAGCCAGTCTAGAAGCCTGCCCAACATGAACCAATAGACAGGAAGGAGAATGACACTACTGACAATAAACTTCAAAATTATTTGCTATACAAAGAGCTAAAGATTTTTATTTTTTCTTCATGCAGCTGTTGCTCCTACCAAACTCATTCCTACTATACATAAGCTGTTGGCACCCTTTCAGTTGCTCAAGAACAACTATTTCTGCAGCCATGCAGGAAGCCAGCATAGAAACAAATGACCTGCCAGATCACTGTACAGCTATTTAAACAAAGGCACAACTGAGAGGGTCATAAGGAGGACAGAAAGAGCAGGTCTGCTTAGTTCAATCCTGCTTTTGGATGAAATAATAAAAACAGTTCTTGAGATTCAAAGTCTTTGATTCAACTGTAGAGATGGAAACTGATTGTGCAACACTTCTTCAATACAGAGCCTAGCTCTCAACCTTCTTACAGTCTGCATTCATGCTTCCCTTCCAGCCCTCCTCTATACACTTAATTCCTAGTAAAATCAATCCATTCATTTTTGGCTATAGTTACTCATCCTCATTTTCATTTCCAACAAGCCATTTCCTCCTTCCCTAGCACACCTTGATAGCTATCAAGGAACAGTATTAAGACCAGCAGAAATTAAACTTACTCTCCCATGCCTCAGTGACCTTTTGCTAACTCAGACACATAACTATAGGCATAGGCCTGCATGGTACTCTATCATATTCAGGTCGGAAAGAATATGAAGAATCTAGTTACCAGAGCTCCCAGGAAAAAAGAAAAAAAAAAAAAAAAAAAAAAGAAAAAAGTGTTATGTGTTATGTTCATAAAGATAGCCAAAGGCACTTTCAACTTCAGTGACCACACACTCACTACCCTTCCTCCATGGGGGAACCACTATACCTTCTAACCACACGGCTCCATGCTAAGAAAACCTGTCTTTTTTTTTTTTTTTCCCCTGCAGGAAATTCCAACCCCCCCCCCGCCCCCCCAAACTTTAGAAAAATTCAGCCTAAAATAGACACCAGACTGGGGGGGAGGGGAAGTATTTTGGCTAAATTTGACCAATTTCTCTGGAATTTGGCTAATTTCTACAAAAAATGCATTGCAAATCTGTACCAGCTCCCACTATATTTAAATCCTATATAAATGCCAAACATTTTAATTAAAAAATTATTCATACCTTTTTAATTTTTAATTTTTCTTCTTCAGCAGTGCAAAGCTTGGTTTCTAGGTTTGCAACAGCTTGTTGAAGGTAGCTCTTCGGTTCATTTGTCCTCTGTGTCTCAGCATCAACCAAAGCAATAGTTGATGTAACTGAAGTCTTGTCTTCAATTACATTCACAGAGGCAACTGGAATATCTGCTTGAATCTAATTCATATGAGAAACAAAACAGTAAAGGAAATGGTAAAGGGAATTTAACATTCCAGTCAAGTCAAATTTTATTTCCAGATGACATTACACAACTTAAGAACTGTAAATACTAAGGTTATTTTTTTGAAACCACACTTCCCTGAAATTGGCCATGCACACTCTCATATGTAGGATGTGCTGGCCAAAAAGAAAGCTCCAACAATGGAGCAGTAGCTAGTAATTCTAGATGGATTCACATCAATCCCTCCAATCTCCTTGACTGCTTTTCAAGAATACTTTAGAAGAAGGCTTTAAAAAGGAGGATGGCACAGATACCTCAGTTTCCAATGAGGTCAAAATACTCAAAAGAGGTGAAAATAAACAGAAGTGTAACTGAATCATCTGTCTCAAAGCATCAGGCTTACAGGGAAATAAACTCTCCTTGGATTAGTCACTCCATGTTTTCACCCAATGCAGACTGCAACAGTAGCCCTGGAAAGAGACTACAAATTTTTTGTGCTAAAATAAGTATCTTATCTTGAGGCTAGACCATCAGAATAAGAGGAATTGGGACGTGTCTACAACATTTAGTTAATGCTATTTCAGTGAACTGTAGAACTACAAAAACTAAAACGGAGGCTTCTATACTACACAACCCAAAACAGATGACACGCTGATAATAAGCCCGTATTTTCAGAAAAGCATAAAAATAAATTAGGTGAGGTTTAAAATATTTTGTGGTATAATTACCAAAAGCCAAAGCTTTTTTTTCTTCTTAAAAAAAAAAAAAAAAAAAGGCAGCAAAAACTTATTTATATTGCAGCAAAGGAACTTCAAAGGAAAAAGCTGGTAAATTAATTTCAGCTGCCGCATTTTCAACAACAATTTGAAAGCCAAGAGCACTTGAGATTTGGGGAGCAGGGGTGAAAGGAACATCTCAATGTGTTTATTAAGAGATGTTTGACTGATCTGATTTAATCCATTCCCTTAACACCTTTTATTCCAAACACTCAAATAATAGATTGACTTTTCAATAAATAAGTATCTCCTGGAGGATTCAAAGAAAGAAAAAACAAAAATAGCTGAGATCTTGACTGTACATGGATACATAAAATCCAGTAGACAAAACAGTCACAAAGAAAACTGCAGTTTGTGCTCTGAATTCCCCATCTGTAAGAAGCAAAGAGAACCTAGATGTGCTAATTCTACTTCTGAGAACTACTCAAGATAAGAGCCTGGCACTGCCAAAAATTGTGATGTTGGAGCCTGAAAAGCTGAGGTTTTTTAACATGAAACCTCAAGAGGCTCTGGAGACACAATTATAGAAGAATACAGTTCTCCTAACATCCTCCTCTAACAGGTGTAAAAATATTTTATTATAGTTTTATACCCACCATTTTCCTTTAGCTTTATCCAAAAGTGCAAAGTCTGATCTCCATTTCAAAATAATGTTAAAGGACCTCCTCTCAACTGCCCTTCTCCCTTTAGTAACACTTGCTAATGTTGTATTCTTTAGTTTGTATTATTTCCTGCATTAAAAAGAGAGTTTATGGAACCCTGGGTCTGTCAGTAGCTGACCAGAACAAGATGAGAAAGACTGAAACATGGCCTACAACTAGAATTTGCACACATAATTATTCAGAAGTAACAAAGTGTATTTCTTATTTTTAGTAAGATTACCTAACCAAATGACTTTTTAGTTTTAAAAAAATACACCTAAGCCTTAGTATTCTGGAATATCCAAAGTGCTCTTTCCAGAAAGCACGCAAGCTAAAGTTTCTGGCCTAGCTCAAACAAGAAAGGATACAGGTTATTCACATTTCACCGTTAGCCAAAATCAAAAAGCATGGGATCTGTTGTGGCTGAAGAAAAGCATATTTTGATCATCCTGCCAGTAATAGAAATTTACTTATCAAAACATTGTCAGAGAGGGAGATGAAGAGCTTTCAACACAGAAAATGACCCTGGCTGGTATCAGTCAAAAAACAAAGTAAACACATACCCCTCTCAAGGGAAAAAAAAAAAAAACACAACTTCTGGATTTCTAAGAAAATTTCTTAAGTATTATTTGCATCTCGGCACATCTCTTCTTCACTTTTTATAGGCTTTCTCCATAACATTAGGCTGGGAACAAATACAAAATAGTAACTAATTCATTACTAAGACTGAACTGTTGGAGCTGTACTAGCCACAGTCTTTCTGAAAGTATGAACATACAGATGTTGTTCAAAGGAAAAACAATAAAAGTCAGTTTAATCAAAACAAGTATTTTGTACAAGTTGTTTAAATAGCTCTAGAGAAATGCTTTTAAATGGTCAGATTATGGAAATCTGACTTAATCATGAAATTCAACTTTCAACATGAATAGCCCTAGGACTTGATGAGACTACCTGAAGAATAATAAACAAAGTAAGTGCTGGAAATGGGAGGGTCACAAACTAGCCGAAAATATTGATTGGTTCAGAGAAAAACAAGAGCACTTTCTAATTCAAGTATATACTACTATACATCCTGAAACAAGGAACTTTACAATCAATAAACTCGTTCAAACAGGTGTCACTGCAATCAATGGCAATAAAAATTCACTTGGGAGGGTAAATCTATTTAATTCTCATCCACAGCAATCTTGCATTCTTGTGCTAATCTCCAGGCAGAAATTCTTTTCCTTCCCTTGCTCACCTAATTGTTTAGTCAAAAACTAAACACTTTCACCCCCAAAAAAGAAGCTAAGATCAGCTCTCAGCAGTATTGCAGCCACAAGGAGAGATCAAGATCATACAACTAGGACTCCGTCAGATCACAAAACAAAACAAAACAAAAAAACCACAACACACAAAACTTTAAAAGTAATGGGGGAACAAAAATAAAGTAAAACATAATAAAATAAAAAATAAAACTGAAATGAATTGAATTATAATTAAGTAAAAATTAAACATTAATTCTCTAATCCTAAAGCCACTTGAGAAAACATACAAGTATGACATATATGTACAGCCATAATCTTTACAGCTTTAACAGTAACACATCTTTGTAGAGAACCTTCCTGCTATTGTTTCCTACTTTCATGCCTAGCACTATCAGCACACCTTTAACTTTTAATAACCCTTTAACACACTTATCTCTCTTGCAGTCCATACCAAAGTACTATGGTGTCTCCCAGTTATAGGATTTAAACATAATATTTAAATTATTTTACTTCAAAGTCTGTATCACAGAAATCCAAGGACCACCTTTTGCTCTTAAAAGGCAATTCAATCTAAATTTGCACAGAACATATACAATGCTAAGATATTAAATACATCAAGTTTCCATACCGAAACACAAAAATTGTGGGTTTACCTGTTCTTCAAGAACAGATGGGTTTATAACATTGGCTGTTTGAATAGCTGTTGCCACATTATCACTTGACAAAGTGAATGAGTCAGAAGGAACCAGGCAGGAAGAAGGCACAGAGTGCTCCAGAAGAACGTCAGGAGATATACGGACTTCGGATACTAATGCAAGAAATGAAAACAGAAAATACACACACAATATGAAGAAGCATTAAAAAATTAATTCTGCTTCTGAAATCTATACCTAGGAAAACCCGTCACAGTAGCAACAGGTATAGTCATACTAATGTAAGGTTATGTACCTCTTACAATCTAATTGCACTGAAGAATAATTCCATACAAAGTTCCTGTATTTTTGAGTACTATCAACTTAAGGATATTTAAAATTGTAGTCACACTAAATTTAGACTTGTAACTTACACAGAGCTTTCACAAGACAACTGCCATCAGAAGCAGCAGTTTTAACTTTTGTCTCTTTCCACTCACATAACCTTTCAGCTTCAGCATGATCTTTAATCAGTTTAAGTCAACTGTAAAACCATACAGTTTCCTAAGTTTTATAAATTCTAAAGGTAAAAAAAAACCTTCAGCTGTCTTAGAAGACATATACAAACAGCTTACCAAGACACATGATAAAAGCAGTTTTACATTTTATAAGAGATCAAAAGATAGCAAAGTAAATAACTCTCTAGCTAATAAAACTTAAGTGTAATTAATACATAGCAATTTCCAGTTATGCCATAAAAAATCCTGAACAGTGAATCATCATTATCAACCCAGCACAACAGAAACTTGAGCACTTTTACGAAAGATTTAGACACAAACTAAATAAAAAGAAAGGAGAAAAGAAAGCTTTGCATACATTTTTAATTTAACAGCAAAGTCCTGCAAACTTTGATGTTGTCAGCTACATGTATGCCTTTGCAGTAGACAAAAAAGTATATCCAATTGCTTTAGAAAAAGCAGCTCACATTACCGTTACAAATTTGGTAAAATGTAAAAGATGCCACTATCCCGGAGCAAGGCTCAGCCTCTCAGTATCACTGTTTAATACTGCACAAGTACGTACACATAGCACAAACAAGTGTATACGTTGGCCTAAGGGCATTTAAAAAAAGACACACTAATCCTTGAATACAGGCGCTCTGTGTCCCATCTCCTTTATCTCCCAGTTCTGGGATTCTAGGTTAACATAGAGGAACATGCAAACCTCATCTAAGAAAAAGAAGAAAGAAAATAGACTACAAGACAGAAAAATATCAGGATGCTAACTGCAGCAATAGTAGATTTGGACACATGGGAAAAAAAAAAACAACAGCTGAGCAGAAAAATGGAAACTTGGATGAAAAGCGTAGAGGACAGCAAACAGAACAGGAACCAGTTTAGGTAACCAGGACAAAACAAAACAGTACTGGGACACAATTGCATCTCTAACAGTTCTCCAGAATTGGAAATGGGACTTTTTAGGCTTCCTTTATGTACCATAAGATATCTGTGAAACCCACTTAAATACTCTATTCACCTCTCCCCTACTCTTCCAAATGTCTGCTTACATAAAGGCAGCTTCCTATAACCATCACCTTCTCGCAGGAGCGGGCTGTCCCC